ATAGCCTAAGCATTATACTGGTTCTTGATCAAAAGAATGCTGGGTTGAGGATTCTCAGAGCTGTAGGAATAAGATTTTTTTTCCAACTTCTACATCGTGGTGACTCCTCATGTCACCTTCTTGAGTATTTTGGTAACTACTCTGTAATAAAAATATCTGTGATACTCTTTACTGCCTCTCTCACATAGAAGACGGCAGTATTAAAATTGCTTATACTGAATATGCTGTCACATTTCCAAATTACTTACATTGCAAAAAAAAAGTACTTTTTAAATTTTTTTTAAAAAAGAATGCTAGGTTGAAAGTCAGAAGATTGAGTTCTAGTCCTGCCTCTACCTAAGCAGCATTGAGACCTGGGACAAGCCAATTAGCCTCTCTGATTCTTATGTTTTAAAATGTAAAATGGGTATAAAATTATATTGCCTAACTCATGGATAGTGTATGTGTAAATAAATTCATTTTATCCATTCAACCAACAGTTATTAAGTACCTACAAAGTCTAGAAAGCCTCAGAAAATTCAGGCTGTGAGTGGGAATATTCAAGATTTGAATTTATGTCTGTCTCCAAACCCATGCTCTCATGCACTAGCATATGACCTTGCAAAGACATCTATTCAATTGGTATAATTCCATTTATTACATTTAATAAATATAAAATACATTGAGCTAGATATTACAGGTAATGCTAAAAATTAGTAAGACATGGTCCCTACCCTCAAGGAAATCACTGGAAAGACACAAAGATACACAAATAATTTGAATATAAATCAGGCTTTCATAACTGCTTACAAAAAAGGCAAAAGGTCTGTCAAAATTTGAGGGATAGAGGGGAGAGATTAATGATCTAAGAAAGATTTTTCCGGGAGATAGGTCTTGAACTAGGTCTTGGTTCAGAGGCACCAAACTTAATACTATCCAACCTGCCTGAAGGCTGAGTACTAGATCCAATGATTGTAAAGTAAACACATAATTACAGAGAAAATGGACAACTGTGCACGGTAATGAGACAGAACAAAATCATAGTATATAAAAATTATCCTCACCAGCGCAGCCAAATAACGAAGCACCTTTTTATCATGCATTAGCATTTTAATAACATCTTTTTTCGGAGCTTTTGGAATGAGAGCAAAGCAATTCTGAGCAGAGTCTTCAACTAGTCCATAACCATTATAGGGAGGTAATTCCTGAAGAAATACAGGAAGCAAGAAGTAAAGCAGATGCTATTAGTGTTAAAAATTACATTAAAAGTAACTAAATTTCTTTTTAAAAAATCTAGAAAATATTTACTCAAAAGCAATTACTATATATACAAATGTAGTCAGAAACATCAATACATCACCTATTCTGTTCCTCTTTATTTATAGACTTTATACCATAATCACTCTTCCTAGAAGTGATTGATGATGCTACAAAGTAACCCTCAGGGCTAGACTTAAACGTGCTCATGTCCACTGACCCTTTACTGCCAAAGTAGTACCTGGTCCTACTCCCAGTCCCAATCCTGACCATTGTGGTCATCCAACATGGTGCAGCCCATGGGTCTGTATGTGTCTTCTTTGTCCAGGGTGTGGCCCTCAGCTTGGCAGATCTGGAAATTGTTTTCTCAGGTTACCCAAAGTGTGTATGTGTTGCATATGTTGGAGTTGGCAGGGGTCGTTCATTCAAGGTGTGGTGCTTGGAACACTGACACTTCACCCATTTCCTGGGGCTGCAGTTAATGTGATCAGCATGGCTGGAATACAATTAGTGGATCCAGTGGGTTGGCAATGATCTAATTTGTTCCAAGTGCAAAACCACTACTCAGTGAATATAGAAGTTGCCATGGACAGAGGGACCTTGGGTGAGACACCAAATGCTAATAAGGTTTGTGTTACTCTGGAGGCTAGGCAGAAATGCACGGTGGTAGAATCTAAACTTGCTTTGCAGTTGCATCAATACAAAATGACAGCAGTCTGGTTGAGGGATGGGGGTGAAGGTTGAGGGATTTTGAAATAGGGAAGTAGCTCTGTGAGCCTCTGAGCACCTTCCTCTCAAATTCCTTTTGTGTTTCAACAGGCTGTTACCTGCTTTTCTTGAGTCATACCTCATTTGCCCTGCTTGGAATGAAGACCTTGCCTGAATATCAGCTCATATGCCTGGCGTCCTGGCATCAGGCTTCTTGTGCTTTAAGCTACTGCCTGGGTCCTGTTTCAAACTAGATAGGCTGCTCCTCTGACTATGGACATCATCACTCTTAGATACTCCTGTTCACATGACCCACCCGGCAGTTTCCGCCCAGGTCTTTCTTAACAAAGAAGGTACACCAGAAGCCTAAGAGTCCCATCATCTCTCACATACTGCTTTTAGGGGCCAGCTCCATAGCAAATTAGCTCTCCTAGTCCTGGTTTCTTCCTCTTCCCTACCAGCATGTCTCCATATGGAGCCAGCCTGAGATACAACTCATCGGGCCACTGGATCTATGTTTACTGATCTAGCAGATCAGCCTAATCTATGAGTGTCATGATTCACAAATTGAATATAGCCACTTCATATCTACTTTTGTGCCTGACCCATTAGCTTGGTTCTAGCTTTATCCCTCTACACCCTGCTACAGCTTCTCATCCTAACTACATTGTTCAGGGTTTAAATGGCTGACATTTAATGACTAAGGAGAGCTAAAAGGTATTTGCTGTTTGGTAAGTGGAGCTCTCCTACTCATTTCCAACAAAGAATTTTGTGGATAGGCAGAGAGAAGTTATTTGTAATAGAATTACTTATTACAGAGACTTTACTGAAAGTAAAGTGACCAAACACTACGATTAACATATCATATGTATGGAGGGAGATTACTTTTATTATAGAGTGGCTGTGATAGGGCAAAACAAACAAACAACCCAAAATCTACAGTGGTTTTTCAGTTCTCTTTGCTCTCTATCCAAGACTTCCCTTCCTTTTTCTTTCTTTGGAAGACAGGTTAAGAGAAAAAAGATTATGGTAATGAGAATAGGGAGAAGTATTCTAGGACTCAAAAGTTTTATCAGCTCTAAAGATGGCTCAAAGCCCATTCACTAAGAAAAGCACACCACTCTGTTACAATCCCTCCCCATCTTACCTCCTGGTTAAGTAAAACTTCTTGTAGGCATATCTGACATTTAATAGAATCACCCTTGCACTTTGAAATGGGACCTTGGGCAAGTCCGTTGGACTGCTATCTCACATTATACGGATCTATAAACTAAAGTGGTTTATAGCTTGCTTGATTAAAATCTAGATCTGTTTCCATAGTATTTTTTCCTGTATACTCCATCAAATGGTGCCAAAAAATCTGGAGGTGAGGCAAGGATTGTATCATAATTCTTAATCAATGAGCAAAGTCATTGGTAAAGAGTTTCATCAGAAAAAACTTGATAGCATGAGGTACAGTCATGTGTAGCTTAATGACGGGGATACATTCTGAGAAATGCCTTGTCAGGAGATTTCATCACTGTGTGAACATCATAGAGTGCACTTCCAGAAATCTAGATGGCATAGCCTACTACACACCTAGGCTATGTGATATAGCCTATTGCTCCTAGGCTACAAACCTGTACAGTATGTTACTATACTGAATACTGAGGGCAATTATAACTTAATGGTATTTACTTATTTAAACATATCTAAACACTGAAAAGGTACAGTAAAAATGCGATATAAAATATGAAAAATGGTAAACCTGTATAGGGTACTTACCAAGAATGAGGCTTGCAGGACTGGAAGTTACTCTGGGTGAGTCAGTGAATGAGTGGTAAGTGAATGTGAAGACCCACAACATCACTGCACATTACTGTAGGGCTATATAAACACTGTACACTTAGGGTACACTACATTTATAATGAAATATTTTTTCTTTTTTCAATAACAAATTAACCTTAAATTACTGTAACCTTTTTTATTTTATAAACTTTTGAATTAAAAAAATTTTTAACTCTTTTATAATAACACTTAGTTTAAACACAAACACATTGTACAACTGTACAAAAATATTTTCTTTATGTCCTTATTCTATAAGCTTTCTCTATTTAAAGATTTTTTTTAATTAAAAATATTTGTTTCTTAAAAACTAAGACACAAACACACACATGAACCTGGGCCTACACAGGGTCAGGATCATCAATGTCACTGTCTTCCACACCTTGCCCCACTGGAAGGTCTTCTGGGGTTAATAAACGCATGGAGCAGTCATCTCCTGAGATAACACTGCCTTCCTTCTGGAATCCCTCCTGAAGGACCCGCCTGAGGCGCTCCTTGAGGAGGTGTCATCCTTTTCAGAAATATGTCCATGGTGGTTTGCTAGGTTTGTTTTCTTCATCATAAATTTGCTTATAAGCAGACAACACACCATGAACATTCCTCCTATTAACGAAAACCTTTCAGTGTTGGGGTCCACGTTTTCAAAATTTTTAAGGAGAATGTTGAGGTCTGCAAAAGCTTCTGCTAAATGCTTCACTGTGAATTTTCTTGGGGGTTCTTCTTTTTCTTCTTCTATAGCTTCCTTTTCTCTTGCCTCTTCAACTATGCATTCTAGTTCCAACAAGTCCTCATTAGTCAATTCCTCAGGAACCATTTCTAGGGGCTTCTTGATGTCACCCTCATCCTCACTCAGGTTACGGTTGCTTGCAATCAATCAGCTTTATTGATTTTTGCAACCTCCTCATCCTTGGTAAAGCCTTTGAAGTCATGGATGAAATCTCTTGAGTGTCTTCTTCCAGGTGCCATTCATACACTCCTTGGTGCGTCATACCAAACTCAAGGAAGATTCTTGACACAGTCATAGATGTTGTAATCCTTCCAGAATTGCATCAGTGTCTTCCTCATTTGCAGCAATAGCCTGGGCAGAGGTCCTCCTCTGGTAGGAAGTCTTAATACCGCTTTGATATTGGGATGAAGATTACCATTGAAAGGAGGATGTCCAGGAGCAGTATCAACAATAAGCAAACTCTTGAAGGGAATGTTATTCTCCATTTTGCTGGCATAGCAATTCAGGAGGGCATCTTGGAAGAGGAGCTGGGTTGCCCATGACTTCGTGTTGCTCCTGGAATGCACTGGCATTGTGTGCATGTTAATATGCTTGAAGGCCCTGGGGTTCTTGCTGTGCCAGATCACACAGGGTTTCAATTTGTAGCCTGTAATATTGCCCCCAAGCAAGACTGTTATCCTGCCTTAAAAGCCTTGAAACCTGGCATTGACTTGGCCTCCTTATGGATAAAAATACTTTCAGGCATCTGTTTCCAGAATGGGGAGGTTTCATCCATATTGAATATTTACTCTGGCAAGTAATTTTCCTCCATAATCGGTTATCTACAGCATCCAAAAATTCTTCAGCTGCCTTCACATCAGCAGTTGCAGACACACCACTCACTTTCACATTATATAATAAATAACAATTCTTGAGTTATTTAAACCACTCAAAGGTAGCAGTAGATTCACATCATAGTCAGGACCAGCCTTTTCTTTCAACATCATAAACAAACTTTTTGCTTTGGCCATAATCATCATTGGCTAAGAAGGATATACTTGTCTGTCTGGTCTTCAATCCATGTCATTAGTAGTTTTTCCATGTCTAATATAGGCACTTCTCAAATTTTTGTTAGTCTTGTTGCCTTTGAGTCCATTTTTCAAGATCATAACTATGGTGGAATGGGACATGCCTGACTAGTGAGCAGCAACCATCACTAATTTTCCACCTTTGTAGTCCTTAATCATTTTTAATTTCATTACCAGGTCAATTACTTGACTTGGTCTTGTACTGGCAACATTAGCAGTGGATTTTGTATGCTTATAGGCCACGATGAACAAAACAACATGTGATTAAATCAAGCACAAGAGAAATGATGCCAATTTTCTGGTCAAGATAGCAGAGTAGATAAACTGTGCTGGCCTCCTCTCATGACCACATCAAAATTACAATTAAACTATAAAACAACCATCATTGGGAGTCACCTGAAGTCTAGCTGAACAGAGTTTCTCCAACTAAGGACACACAAAAGAAGCCAGCTTGAGACTGGTAGGAGGGCCAGAGATGGGGAATGGGCTGGTCCCAAACCTGCATGTGACTGTTAAAAACTGGGAGGGGCATCTCAGCTGCAGAGGTCCCCCCTGAGGAGCGAGGGGTTCTAACCCCACCCCAGACTCCCCAGCCCAGGGTTCTAGTGCAGGGATAGAAGTCCTCATAACTTCTGGCTGTGAAACCCAGCAGAGATTGTGGCCGAGTGAGATAAACGGGCGGCTGGAGTCCCAGACTTCTTAAAGGGTCTGCACATGGACTTATTTGCTGACGGCCTCACTCGCTGTGAGCTCCAGCGCTGGGGCAGCAGCTCAAACGGCTCCAGAGACGTATAGGAAGGAACTGAGTTGTCCGGCTGCAGGGCAAGGGCTGGAGGGGAAGCTGTATCCCAAACAGAACCCACCCAACTCTCAGGCACACCCAAGCCGCTTCCAGCGGCTTTTCCACACAAATGGCCTGTCTCGGCTGTGGACTTTCCTAAAATCTCTCGAAGGTTCACAAAACCTAAAGAAGCAGCATCTGGTTTCAGCATCTCCTGTACCTCTTGCTGAGCAACCCTAAGCCTGGCACTAGCAGCAGGATCCCTTGGCGGCTTGGCCTCTTGAGGACCCTCCAAGCCCAGCAAGGGTGGCGGCCACCTGTGGATTGTTTTGTGGCTTATGCAAGGTGGTCCCAGACAGGGCACAAGCTGAGGCTGAACTTGGCCTGCAGAGGGGCCTCTCCCAGGAGGCCCTGAGCTGGCATGCCTGGTGGCCAGCTTCAGACTGAGACACAGCATCACCCAGACCCCTCCACGGATGAAACACCCAAAAGGCAGACAGGGCAGGCACCATGGCCCTGCTAAAGCAAATGCTGCTCCACAAGGTCAGCCCCTGAACCAAACAAAGCTCTGCCACTATAGCCATGGCCAGTCCTCACAACCAATCAGCTTAAGGGTCCATCCCTCCTATTGATGTGCAAATAGCAACCAAGGCCCAACTACAAGAGGAGGGTACACACAACCCACATAAGGAACACACCTAGAGCACCAGTTCAGATGAGCAAGGAGACTGTGCCACTGGGCCCCACAGGACACCTATTATTTAAGGCCATGCTACTAAAACTGGGAGACATAGCAGCCCTGCCTAATACATAGAAACAAACACAGGGAGGCAGCCAAAATGGGGAGACAAAGAAACATGTCCCAAATGAAAGAACAGAACAAAACTCCAGAAACAGAAATAAACAAAATAGAGATAAGCATCTACTAGAGTTCGAAACACTGGTTATAAGAATGCTCAATGATCTCAGTGAGAACTTCAACAAAGATATAGGAAACATAAAAATGGACAGAAAACATAAAAAAGAACCAGTCAGAAATGAAAAATACATTAGAGGGCGTCAATAGAGGATTAGATGAAGCAGAGGACCGAATCAACAATTTAGAAAATAAGGTAGCAGACAATGCCCAATCAGAACAGCAAAAATCCACGTCATTTAGTTCAAAAAGAAAAAAGAATCCAAAAAAAATGAGGAGAGTTTAAGGGGCCTGTGGGACAACATCAAGCATACCAACAATCGCCATCATAGGTGTATCAAAAGGAGAAGAGAGAGAGCAAAAAATTGAAAATCTATTTGAAGAAATAATTATAAAAACAACCTTCTCTAACCTGGCAAAGGAAATAGACATACAAGCACAGGAAGCACAGAGAGTCCCAAACAAGATGAACCCAAAGAGCCCTACACCAAGACACATCATAATTAAAATGCCAACGGTTAAAGACAAAGAGAGAATGTTAAAACTAGCAAGGGAAAAATAATAGTTAGTTACCTATAAGGGAGACTGTCATCTGATTTCTCAAAAGAAAATTTGCAGGCCAAAAGGGACTGGTATGAAATATTGAAAGTGATGAAAAGCAAGGACCTACAACCAAGATTACTCTACCCAGCAAAGCTATCATTTAGAATTGAAGGACAGATAAAGAGCTTTCCAGACAAGAAAAAGCTAAAGGAGTTCATCATCACCAAACCAGTGTTACAAGGAATGTTAGCAGGACTCCTTTAAGACACACACACAAAAAAAAAAACAGGAAAAGAAAAGATAAAAAATATAAATAATAAAATGGCCATAGCTACATATCTATCAACAATTACTTTCAAGGTAAATGGATTAAATGCTCTAATCAAAGATAGGGTGGCTGAATCGATAAGAAAACAAAATTTTTCCATATGCTTCCTACAAGAGACTCACTTCAGATAGAAAGACGCACACAGACTGAAAACAAAGGGATAGAAAAAGCTATTTCAAGAAAATGAAAACAACAACAAAAAAAGCTAAGGCAGCAATACTTATATCATACAAAATAGACTTTAAAACAAAAGCTATCATAACAAGAGACAAAGAAGGACCCAGAATCCTACTGCTGGGAATTTATCTGAAGAAACCCAAAACGCTACTTTGAGGGGACGTGTGCATCCATATGTTCACTGCAGCATTGTTTACAACGTCCAAGAGATGGAGGCAGCCTGGGTGTCCATTGATAGATGAATGAATAAAGAAGAGGTGGTATATAAATTAATATATACAAATGAATTTTGTGGTTCAATGTGATTCTAACAAAAGCTACATTGCAATGAAAGAAAGACATCTTCCAACATCTTCAATCAATCAGTGTTTGCTTTGCTGCCAACAAGTTTTTAAGTAAACGAGTTTGATAAATAGGCAAGAAACAACGAAATGCCCTAGGGGTCTAGAATGTTAAAAAGTTTCTTTTTAAAATCAAAATGAAAAAAATCTTATAAAAGTAATACAAGACTTGGTATAAAAAGAGAAATTAAAACCACACAGAATATACAAACAAAGGTCCCTTGTCATCTTCTACTTCCCCATTCTCACATGTTAAACCAGCCACTGTTAAAAGTATGGGTGGATATTCCTCCAGGTCTTTTCCTCACTATATATAAACAGATACTGCATATAGTAATTTACAAAAATAGCACATCATGTATCCACATTCACTTTAAAATGTTATGGACATTTTTCCATGTTAATGTGCAGAGCCTGACTTCTTTTTTTTTAAACCATTCTTATAGTCGTCTAATTATATGGAAGGATATACTACAATTTATTCTGCCAATGTCCTTATACTTTATTATAAATAATGCTACAATACACAACCTTATACATATCTTTTTATAATCCCCAAACCAGATTTTCTGGTCAAGAAATATGTAATATTTTATTTTGAAAAAATTAAAATGATGACAAACTGCCCTTCAGAAAGGTTTTTCCTATGGGCTCTCCTATTAACGGTACATGAAAATGTCCACTTCTTCACACCAGGGCAAACATCAGCTATTGTGAGTCTTTTTAAATCAAATAGATCCAAAACCTCATTAGTTTCATTTCTATTTCTTTATCAATTAAGTTGAGGGTCTTTTCATATATTCATTAGCCATTTGTATTGTTTATTTTGTGAACTGCTGTATTTCATATGCTTTGTCTATTTTCTAATTGGGTACTTAATTGGGTACTCTTTTATTTCTTTTTTTCTTAAACTTTTACATCAAAAGATCAATTCTCTCACTATGCTCAGGACTAGTGTTTCGTACCTGTTTTACAGGAGGTGGTTCCTTCTTGCTCACATCAATACGTGGTAAATCGGAGATTCCAAACTTTTCTTTGTAATACTGTCGAGTAAATGGGTCACAATCATAAATGAAGAATGTTCTCCCGAGGATAGTGAGTGGCTTCCCAACGATGAAGTCTTTGGCAGTATACCATTCCAACACCTCTTGATCAGAGATTTCCAGCACACACCGAGGGAAGTTCTCTACCATAAGATAGCAGGGGGAGAGGAAGGATAAAAGAGTGAGGATGGGAAGCAAGGCTCACACACAATAGCCGGGCATTCTTGAGAACCTGAAGGAGTGCAGTCTTTAGCGCTGGTCAAAGGTCAGGGCCTCCTCTGCATTCCCAGAAGAACATAAGGCTGTGTGTTCCCATCTGTTGACAGGACACATAAATAATACCCCAGATGGTTTTCGTAAAGTCTCTCTCTCCTATTCAAGGCCAACTATCACCACAGGTCACCAATCTTAGCAGAATTAATGCTTGGAAGAAATCGTCACTGGAGGAAAGAATCATTGTCCTTCCATAAAGACAGAGTATTAGATCTAGGAGGAATCCAAGTCATTTAGTTCAACCTCCCACCCATTCACCCAACAAACTGTTAGTGACCACATACATCATGTACTAGTACACTGAGATTACAACAACTAACAATATATTGGGTTTTTGGAAAAGTCATGACGCATTTTTGCAACGAAAAACATAGAAAAAATACATCATGACTTTTCCGACAACCCAATAGATAAAATTCCTGCCTTGATGGAAAAAGCATTCTGTTTGGGGTCATAGATATTAACAATTACACAAATAATGGTTTCATTTCAGTTGTGATCACTGCTATTAGGACAGTCTGACCTAGTTCTGTGGCAAGAGGCAGGGACAGTCAGTGAGATGATTACAGTAATCTGTACATCCGGGGAATCAGCAGATTTTCTAATGTAGAATCAAGCTCGCATTTTTAGAATAAATCCAATTTTGTCATACTGTTTTATGAGAACTAAGAGTTGACTTGTTTAAGATTGATTCCCTGCAGCCTGGCCTCCATGGAAACCATAAGATAGTCAGTGAATTCTGGTAATGTGCCACATTGTATAGCTTTAACCACAAGGCTTGGCCCCAGCACTTTGATTTCAGGGGGCATGAGAGATAAGCTGGCATTCTCCTGATAATTGCTAAGATAGAAAAATAGGAAAGGAAATTAAGGTTCTGTAGTATCAGACAGAAAGGACTGAACTCTAACCCTTGATTATGCTAAAAGTGGGCTGGTATTTTCCCAATCATGCATCTTAAAAACGCCTCCTTTGGTTAATATCCAAAATTTATAAAGAGCTCACGCAACTCAACACTAAAAAAACTAAAAATCCAATTTAAATATGGGCAGAGGACCTAAACAGACATTTCTCCAGAGGACATAAAGATGGCCACTAGACATATGAAAAGATGCTCAACGTCATTAATTATCAGAGAAATGCACATTAAAACCACAATGAGGACCAGCCGAGTGGCACGTTGGTTAAGAGTTGGCTTGGGACGCCAGCTCTGAGCAGCAGGGCCCCGGTTCAGATCCCACATGAGGGCCAGTGACACTGCCCTCTACAGCTAAGATGATGAGCAGCAGCTCGACCTGGAGCTGGGCTGTCATGAGTCGCCGGCAATGGCGTAGGCTGCAGTGAAGCTGCAGTGGGCTGCCGTAAGCTACCGTGAGTGGCTGGCAGCCGGCATGAGCAGCTGACAGCCAGCATGAGTTGCTGTGAGCCGCTGTGAATGGCCAGCGGCCGGCGTGAGCTGCCAAGAGCCGCCAAGAGCCGCCTTGAGTGGCAGTCCAGTGGCCGGTGACTGATCTGCCTCACCCGGGAAGAGCGCAATGATAATACCAACCTGGGCCAGTGAAGTGGCGTCCTCTACAACTAGACTGAAGAAAAAAAGGACAGCAACTTGTCTGTTGCCCTTCTCTGATTCCCCAGTGCTGTTCTCCTCCCCCAATTCCCCAATAAAATCTTTTTAAAAAAACCAAACACAATGAGATACCACCTCACACCAGTCAGATTTGGCCATCAATAAATCAACAAACAACAAGTGTTGGTGAGAATGTGGAGAAAAGGGAGCCCTCATGCACTGTTGGTGGGATTGCAAATTGATGCAGCTACTATGGAAAACAGTATGGAGGTTCCTCAAAAATTAAAAATAGAACTACTTTATGACCCAGCAATTCCACTTATGGGTATTTATCTGAAGAAAACCAAAAAAGTATATGCACCCCTACATTCATTGCAGCATTATTTACAATAGCTAAGATATGGAAGCAACCTAAGTACCCATCAATAGAGGACTGGATAAAGGTGAGGAGGTACATATACACAATGAAGTATCACTCAGCCATAAAAAAGAATGAAATCTTACCATTTGCGACAACATGGATGGACCCAGAGGGTATTATGCTAAGTGAAATAAGTCAAACAGAGAAAGATAAATACCATATGATCTCACTTATATGTGGAATCTAAAGAACAAAATAAATGAACCAACAAAACAGAAACAGACTCATAGGTTCAGAGAACAAAGTGATGGTTGCTGGATGGGAGGGGAGTTTGGGGGCTGAGTGAGAAAGGTGACAGGATTAAGAAGTACAAATTGGTAGTTATGAAATAGTCAATGGTATATAAAGTACAGCATAGGGAATATAGTCAATATAGTCAATACTGCAATAACTATGTATGGTGCCAGGTGAGTACTAGATTAATAGGAGAGATCACTTTGTAAATTATATAAATGTCTAGCCACTATGCTGTGTACCTGAAACTAATATAAAATAATATTGAATGTCAACTGTAATTGAAAATAAATTCAACAAATAAAATTTTTTAAAAGGCCCCTCCTTTTCCCAGTGTCTAGTGCCTAACCCTACTAGATCCCTTTGAGTGACCCCAGGAAATGACGGGCAATGGAGAACACAGCTCATGATTCCATGAGTTTTCCTACGTAAACAATGTTTTAGGAGATCTGGGGGGGTGTGTGTGTGTGTCCAGCCATTTGTCTTTGTTCAACAATTATCTTTTTCATATACTGCTGGGTTTCACTTACTGATACTTTGTTTAGGTTTTTTGAATATATGTTAACGAGTGAGACTAGTTCGTTTTTCTCATGGTGTCTTTGGTTTTATTAGTCTTTTTTTTTTTTTTAAAGATTTTTATTGGGGAATTGGGGG